TTTCTGAAGACGCTTTCTATCTCAATCTCTGAAGACCTGATGTCGAGGTCCGCTGAGTACGAAACTGAGGAGGAAGTTATACCGCCAACAGCGCTGTCAGATGTTTTATGCCAACCCGCCCATCTCACTCGATCGCCTTCTTCAAGTATTCGTACGATAAGAGAGGCGTAACCGCTATAAGCATAAGCGGAGTCGGAGGTGTTCTGAAATAATTCATTGAATGATAGTAAAAAACTCACTAAGTCGCATCTCTCACCGATTCAGATACGTTCTCGGTTAACAAATTGTATTGCTTCTTCATATGTGGAAACATAACTGGAGCATAATCGGCAATCATCTTACCACTACCACCGCGTTCTCGAATCATGCCCATCTTTTGCAATTTTAAGAGTTTATTCAATGCTTCAACACCATAGGACTGTAATAAAATTATTAATCAGTCTTTTTCAAAACCTCATTTTATGAAAATCCTTATTCAAATTCATGAGAACAAAATAGGCATTTTTATGTGAAGTAACAGAGATGAGAATAGAGCATTAGAACCTTCTATCAACTACTCATTGTAACTATGGCTTCGTGTGACCATTCCATAGTCTTGAAAAATCAGTAAGTTTGTATGAAGAGAAGTCGACAGCGATATGTCAATCATCTCGAAATTCATTCTTCACACTTTGCACTTGTTGATTGAAAAGCTTACTTTTCTTTTTCTGTCTGAGGAAAGAGCCAAAAAAGCACTGCTGTGCCTCACCTGCATGATCATTCTCCTATACTGATGCAATATAGCTGGTTTGAGACCGTTTGCTGCGAGTGCATGTATAGCAATTAGACGCAGAGCCGCATTTACATCTTCTCCAGTAACAATAGTATCTTCGATGAATGGGTGAATTTTATCGCCGCTTGCCGAGTCGAGCAGTTCTAAACAGTGGGAGTGACATGAAGTTAGTAAAGCACCCGATACTGGTAATTATATTCAGCGCCAAACCTCTGAATTAGCATGCTTTACATGGGGCAGGATGAGCAGGCATGAAAACAGCAAACATATTTGTGCACAAGCCATGTTCTTTTTATTTTTAAATGTTGGTTACTGTGTGATTTCTCGTGAAATTTTTCTTAACAACAAATCAGGGTGATTAGATTCATCACTTTTTCAAATTTGGATCAAGTGCTATAAAAGTTTGTCTTTTTTCTGCTCTACGTAACTGTTCTCATCGTTTAAGCTTTTGGTATTGGTCTCTCTTTTGAGTTGAGAAACGGACTGTCGCTCCACAGGAAACAGCGCCATCAATACCTGCTAATGTTTTTCTTGGTACGTTACTAAAAAAATGCGAACTCTGCGGGCTCATAATTTTTTCGCTTATGGAGGAGCTGCACTGTACTGTAATATTGAAAGATGGTTCACTAAGTTAAACTACTCTCTCCCAAGTCTCCTCACACTGTAAGCCATCTGAGTTCAAAGAAGACTGTTGAAGGAGGTTCAGCAGCCTCTGTGCTCTCCAGACCCTGCTTCAAAAGACATATCAAGTGGCGTTCTAAAGAGGAAACGCTATGATTCTAGTACAGTGACATAAGGAAGTAACTGAAAGAATGGAAGGAGGTCCTGAGCAATGGCAAACACTATATTTTGGATGACTTATCGTTACAATCTTAAATAAAATTGCTTTACTAAAAAAACTCAAGAATTCGTTGCAATTTGTAAAGGGAACTGTTGACAACGCTGTTCTTCGTCGACGTGAGATTTGGGTTATAGCTCAAAAAGTAACAAATTGGAATCAAATAGGCATAAAAACAGAGCCTATGTAACAATCTAATTTGCAGAAGCCTGAGGCATATCTCGCGCACATTCAGTTCAAAAAAGATTGCGTAAAATTTACGCAGGATGCATTAGCTGATTATCTCATGAACTAAAGCAAAATTACATTCCCAGTCGAGTTCAACTTTGAATGAGACATAAGATCTCACTTGACGTATCTCACGTTTTCGCTCTTCAAACCTAATAGTTCACCTTTTTCAACTTTAATGTAGTCAGCAAACACATCGTATAGCTGTTCCCGAGCCATTTCCGCAAGCCTCATGTGCACACCGCACAGTTTCTTTCGGAGCAGAATTTGAGGCATTTTTTTCACTAGCACTTGATACTCTGCCACAGACATGCGATCACGGTCAAACTGGAATAAGTCGTTCATCTTAAAGTAGCAAAATTATAG